GAGTTATGGGGGTGCTCATATTTGACCCATGTCTATATACGAATCTTGGGGTAAGATTTTGACATGAATTTCGACTAAAAAATCGGTGTCGATATTTGAATGCCAGATTAATCTAGAGGGAAAACCATGAAGAAAACGCCAAACTTCGTGAAAATCGGATGAGATTTGACCAAGTTATGGGGATCGTAATTTTTGACCCATGTCTATATACGAATCTTGGGGTAAGATTTAGACTTGAATTTCGACCAAAAAATCGGTGTCGAGATTTGAATGCCAGATTAATCTAGAGGGAAAACCATGAAGAAAACGCCAAACTTCGTGAAAATCTGATGAGATTTGACCGAGTTATGGGGGTGGTCATTTTTGACCCATGTCTACATACGAATCTTGGGGTAAGATTTGGACATGAATTTCGACTAAAAAATCGATGTTCATATTTGAATGCCAGATTAATCTAGAGGGAAAACCATGTAGAAAAATCCAAACTTCGTGGAAATCTGATGAGATTTGACCGAGTTATGGGGGTGCTCATATTTGACCCATGTCTATATACGAATCTTGGGGTAAGATTTGGACATGAATTTCGACCAAAAAATCGGTGTCGAGATTTAAATGCAAGATTAATCTAGAGGGAAAACCATGAAGAAAAATCCAAACGTCGTGGAAATCTGATGAGATTTGGCCGAGATATGGGGGTGGTAATTTTTGACCCATGTCTATATACGAATCTTGGGGTAAGATTTAGACTTGAATTTCGACCAAAAAATCGGTGTCGATATTTGAATGCCAGATTAATCTAGAGGGAACACCCTGAAGAAAAATCCAAACTTCGTGGAAATCTGATGAGATTTGACCGAGTTATGGGGGTGGTCATATTTGACCCATGTCTATATACGAATCTTGGGGTAAGATTTGGACATGAATTTCGACTAAAAAATCGATGTTCAGATTTAAATGCCAGATTAATCTAGAGGGGAAACCATGAAGAAAACGCCAAACTTCGTGAAAATCGGATGAGATTTGACCAAGTTATGGGGGTCGTAATTTTTGACCCATGTCTATATACGAATCTTGGGGTAAGATTTAGACTTGAATTTCGACCAAAAAATCGGTGTCGAGATTTGAATGCCAGATTAATCTAGAGGGAAAACCATGAAGAAAACGCCAAACTTCGTGAAAATCGGATGAGATTTGGCCGAGATATGGGGGTGGTAAATTTTGACTCATGTCTATATACGAATCTTGGGGTAAGACTTGGACATGAATTTCGACAAAAAAATCGCTGTTCATATTTAAATGCCAGATTAATCTAGAGGGAAAACCATGTAGCAAAATCCAAACTTCGTGGAAATCTGATGAGATTTGACCGAGTTATGGGGGTGGTCATTGTTGACCCATGTCTATATACGAATCTTGGGGTAAGATTTGGACATGAATTTCGACTAAAAAATCGATGTTCATATTTGAATGCCAGATTAATCTAGAGGGAAAACCATGAAAAAAACGCCAAACTTCGTGAAAATCTGATGAGATTTGACCGAGTTATGGGGGTGGTCATTTTTGACCCATGTCTACATACGAATCTTGGGGTAAGATTTGGACATGAATTTCGACTAAAAAATCGCTGTTCATATTTGAATGCCAGATTAATCTAGAGGGAAAACCATGTAGCAAAATCCAAACTTCGTGGAAATCTGATGGGATTTGACCGAGTTATGGGGCTGGTCATATTTGACCCATGTCTATATACGAATCTTGGGGTAAGATTTGGACATGAATTTCGACTAAAAAATCGATGTTCATATTTGAATGCCAGATTAATCTAGAGGGAAAACCATGAAAAAAACGCCAAACTTCGTGAAAATCGGATGAGATTTGGCCGAGATATGGGGCTGGTCATATTTGACCCATATACGAATCTTGGGGTAAGATTTAGACTTGAATTTCGACCAAAAAATCGGTGTCGAGATTTGAATGCCAGATTAATCTAGAGGGAAAACCATGTAGCAAAATCCAAACGTCGTGGAAATCTGATGAGATTTGGCCGAGATATGGGGGTGGTAAATTTTGTCCCATGTCTATATACGAATCTTGGGGTAAGATTTGGACATGAATTTCGACTAAAAAATCGCTGTTCATATTTGAATGCCAGATTAATCTAGAGGGAAAACCATGTAGCAAAATCCAAACTTCGTGGAAATCTGATGGGATTTGACCGAGTTATGGGGCTGGTCATATTTGACCCATGTCTATATACGAATCTTGGGGTAAGATTTGGACATGAATTTCGAGTAAAAATCGATCGTGAAGAAAAATCCTATATCATATATATATTCTATTTTAGAAGCTATAAGTCATGTTTGGTGACTCTAGTTCTTATTATTTACCAAAATTGCCCAAAAAACATTATATCGATATAGATTTTTATCGATTGCTTGGAAACGGAGTAAGTTATCGATTATCGGAAACAAACTCGATCTGCGCGGGAGCTAGGAGCACCTACATATAAAATTTCTAGTCTCTAGCTCTTATAGGTTCTGAGATCCTTGCGTTCAAACATACGGACGGACGGACGGACGGACAGAAGGACATGGCTAGATCGACTCGGATATTGATGCTGATCAAGAATATATATACTTTATGGGGTCGGAGTTGCTTCCTTCTGCCTGTTACATACATTTGGCTTTCGCACAAATACAATATACCCTTATACCCATTTTTAATGGGTTCAGGGTATAAAAATACTCGAGTTGAACAAATCGCAATTCAGTGTAAGAAAAGAAAGTTCAAAAGGTAACTTAAATTGCCCACGGAGGACCTTCGCGAAGTGAATTAAGCAGATTATTTAAAAATGTTATGCCTGAGCTATATGACAGACAGCAATGTGCTCTCATGAAATACACCGAAGAGATTCTTCAAGCCTATGCGGACCGGTTCAATTTTTTCAGCAGGGGGGCTTTCAGGGGTATGGCAAAACGGCAAGAATAACAAATACTAAACAATTTTTGCAATAACAAGCAAAACAACAATAACAACAACAATACGCAGAGCGGCGATAAACATGCAATCGAAATGCCAAATTGCTGGCCAAATGCCAAATGACCAGCAAGACGCCCAACGGTCAAACCGACGACGTACGTACTGCTAGCCGGAACGGGCGGGGCGGGGAAGTGGGCGTGCGAATGGATCCTAAAGCGTATGTATATATATATACATATATATGTTGGGGTCGGTTGAGGGGAACGCGCTTTGGCGCAAGCAATAATGGACGATGATTAAGGCGACGTTTGCGGGCCAACAGACAGACAGAGGGGAGGGCGCAAGCATGCGGGTGGCGGCGGTAGGTGTTGGGGCAGCATGCAGCGTTGACAAACAAGAGGAAATGGCAACAATTTATACATTCTGGACACAGAGCAAGCACAAAGCCAAGCGCATTAAAGCGTTGCGCGTTCACGCAAAAGTTGAAAGTTGAAAGAACAAATAATAAACAGCAAAAATGTTAGCTCAACTCGCGGCAAATGCACACGAGAATGGCCGTCAATCATAAATACCTTGACACACTCAGACACACGCCCAGACCAACTCGAAGAACGTGGTGTATGCATTTGGCAATCGTAAATTCCTGCCAAAATGCCGGATGTGCCTGGCGTTGCTTGATGGCTATTTTTTAGCCACACAAGTAACTGAAAGAATAAAAGTAGCCAACACTGTAAAATTCAGCGTCACTTCCGCCACACCCACTAGCACGCCTGTGTGGGCGCCCCAAAAAAAAATATACAAACAGTTTGCTGCTATTGCAGAAATGGCCATGACGATATAAGCTCGTAAGGTACTTAGGATATATGGTCTTTCGAAAAGCTATCGGTTTAGTAAAGAGCTAAAAATGAATTAAATCAGAAAGAGCATTAATCATACCTAAATACTCAACGTATTGACGTGTAAGTTCGGTTTTATGATGATATAGATAAATATCGAATCAGTTAAGAATTATTCATGTCCTATTAAACTAAGTTAGCTTGTAGGAAACCAGAAATAGTTACGATTAATAAGCTCTACAAAGACTTCTGTAAAGCCAGCAATCGATAATTTATCGAATCGTTGACAAGTACTTTATTTAAAAGATGATCGATAAGCTATCGAAGATATCGATAAGTAAGCAAATCTACACGAAATCAATAACTTTATTTAATTACTATTTATTTAATTAAAAAATTATCGATAAGCTATCGGAGGTGTCGATACGTAAGCAAATATAAGAAATCGATCAATTTATCGATAATTGGTCTATTTCCATATAGTTTCTTTGCAGGGACATCAATAGGTCGATAAACTTTCAATTAATTTAGAAGCTTTTAAGCTCTTTTTCTGCAGTTTTTAGAAAATTCTAGGCTAAATCGAATGTTGGGAATGCCCATATACAAGAGATTCCTTAAGCAAACCCCGACTGGCTTCTGATTTCTTCAAGTAGTTGCGGTAGCTGCCCCTTGAGTTTTGGCTGATGTCAAGTGCAACAAGGATTTGTTGCTTATGCAACTTGTCAGTTATGCAAAACAGCTGTTAATTTAGAGGCTTTAAAAAGGCACCTATTAGAAATTCAGAGAATCATTAAAAGTCGCGCTACAATTTCAAGGAAACTTTTGACATTTTTTGCCCGGCCCAGATGCAGAGACAGGAGACAGGATGCAGGAACAAGTTGAGCTACAGCCAACTCTCAACTTTGTGGCTCGTTATGAGGCAAAGTGGCCATAATTTTAATTTTTACGAGCATAAAGAAACGGAAAGCAACAAACACGAACGTACAGGCAGCAAGTCCTGCAGCAGGACACGGCAATGAGCTGGCGCTTTATGGCGTTGCATGCGGCGTGGCACTCGTAGTTGTTGGGCATTACCAACTTTTAATGTTGTCTTAAATTAACACACACACACACAAACAAATGCGCGCTTAAGCCATTTAAGAGTTTTGAGTTTAATTTGTAAAACTTGTTGAACCATTTTAACAGGAGGAACTGGAGCAGGCGGATGCATTTCTGGTCGTCTATTCCTGCATTGACAAGGAGTCCTTTACGCGTGCCAAGCAGATCTTATCGCGTTTGCAGGACATGGACTTGCTGCGCCATCGACCCACCATTTTGGTGGCCAACAAAATTGATTTGGCCAGATCACGCGCCGTCTCAGCGCAGGGCAAGTGCAGCCAGTGCGTGACTCTTGGCAATTTTCTAATTCCACACCGCCCCCCCCCCTCTCCCTCTTGACTCTTGCAGATGGTAAATGCGTGGCCTGCACCTTTGGCGCCAAGTTCATTGAAGTATCGGTGGGCATTAACCATAACTGTGATGAACTGCTCGCCGGCACTTTGACCCAGATACGCCTGAAGAAGGATCACAATCTATTGCAGGTGAGCGTAAATGGATTCCCAACGGAATCGACTCAATTGAGTGTCTTAGACTTTGGATGGTAGACTAGGTGTAACCAGCTCCAGTTTCAGTACAGTAGATGTTGTTCAACATCTTTAGTCATCATCTCTCGCCTTTGCCTTCAACACCTGAGCGCTTTTCACATTTGTAATTCACTCTATCTCTCTCTCTCTATCATTTATCTATGTACATTTTATGTGTGTAATTGTAACGATCGCTTTCGCAGCTGAATCCGAAAAAGTCGAAAGACAAAACTAAGTTTAAAGATAGCAAAGACAAGCACGTAGAGACTGTAGAAACTGATAAATGTCTGACACTGACTGATCTTAAGGCCGACGATGCGGTAAGTAACGCAGCCAACCAACTACGTACAGTTCTATGTGTACCTCCCCCCCGAAAAACTAGTCCCCCAGTTGTTACCCAGCGTATCTTAAATGTTATCCAAATTGCATGCAAAACCTAACTGTCTACAGCTTTGCGAATTTCTAGGTAATCTGAGCACTTCTAGAAAAAGCGAAAATCGTTTTTATTATCTAAATAGATTTCTATTTCTTTTGATAGACCTTAATTCTTTGATTAGACGTCTGAATTCCTTGGAGTGAAGCTTCAAACTAATGAGTATTAACAGTCGAGTGGATATATATGTATTTCGTCAGTCTGTCCACTCTTTGATTGCCAACAGACCATATTGATTGAGCAGAAATAAGGTTATTGTATAACAAAAATATTGACAGTCAACTCAACAATGACGAGGCTAAAAGCAAGTTTAGAAATATTACTGCAAAACCTTATTAAATCGGATTACTACTATGTCATATATTGTTTCTATAGGAACAATCGACAAATAACAAAACAACAAAAGACAAAAGCCATGTGTCTAACACGCCTTCAACTGTATAACCTTTAGACTAAAATCAAACTTTCGACAGCTAAATAAAAAAAAAATTGAGCAATTAAATAATTTTAAATATATCTTTGTTTTTCGACATGTTGAAGGCCCTGGAACTGCTCATATAGTGTAATTTCCCAGCATTATTTATATCTTCTTCGATCTCCAGCCCCCGGCATATTCCAAATAGTTTATATCCATAGTTTGTAGGTTTGCCAAAACGGAAATGTGTCGAGTGTGCAAACTGTGCAGAGTTTATCTCATGCATATCTTTGTTTGTTCCGTTCTTGTTTTGTTATTCCTTGTATATTATTTGCTGCTGTTTTCACATATTTCAAAACTAACCAAACACACAACCACAAACCCGGACTTTGGAGCGCAACCAAGTCGTTTAACGAGCCAGAATAAACTTATATGAAACTTAACATGCTAGCTTGTCAATTGTTGTGCCTGATAAAGACAAACTCTTCTAAAATGCGTAAATGCCATCGATTGCAGGGTCCCCGGGATGGCAGCTCGCCGGCGCATTGGTATAAGAGCCGCAGCGTAATGCTGGCCAGCATGAAGGCGCGACAGATGCTCACTTGGATACTGGGCAAGGAGGACTCCAAGTTCAAGCACTGCGAGAATCTGCAGGTGCTCTAAACACAAGCATATATGTATCTAACTGCATCGGCTCAACAATAAAAAACAAGTAAAACACCAAATAAATAATGCTTCAAGTTATGCGAGTATGTAAAATGTAAATGTATTTGTAATATGTAACTCTATGATAAAAAAAAAGAAGAATATGTGAATATTTATAAAACCAGCAAAAGAACCAGCTAAACATAACCTTAAAATGTAAACAGGTTTCGATATTTCGATGACCATCAACACACACTCACACACACACTGACACATACACAGCAATGTCCTTTAACTGTAAACAACATCAAAAGCCTGATAATCAAAAATTAAATGAAATTTAATGTAAAAACAAGTTAAGGAAGCGAGCAACTTTATGGAACCAAGCAAATGCAACAAAAACTATAAACTACGTAAATCTAATTTTCTAATTGATAAAACCAAAACTTTTTCTAAGCTTTGAGCTAAAAGTCAACTTTAATATATTTCCCATAAACTGTTTAGCAGAGATTAACTATTTACAACATACGAAAGCATGCTATCTAAATGATAAAGAGTTCTTCTGTTCTTTTTTATAAGATTTACATATATGTGTAGTGTAGTAGTACAGTGTAATCTCGTAAATCTCGAAACTTAGATGATTTTCAAAAGCTTAATTTCTTTGACAAGAGATTTGCGTACAAAACAAACACTTTAGAAACTGTCGGAAAACTTAGCATATTTCTTCTACTTCAGATACTTTAGATCCATTGAATTTTGTGTGTGTTTAAAATTTGTGTGTCTTCCATATATTTTGTATATACATATATATATATACATATACATATGTATAGAATATATAATAGTCCAGTATGGAAATCCATTGCAATGTAAGGAATTTGAGTGTCATCCACACAGAGTGAGGCGCAATGTGGACAAAAGCACAAACAATAATATTTGTAAATTAAAAAATCTCTAATTAGAATTGTTTATATGTGTGTGTATATAAGATTAATCACAATTGGATATTTTCAAAAAAAAAAACTATATATATATATATAAAAATAGAATTCCCCAAAAGTTCTACCATGTACTATGTATAAAAGCTCTAATAAAATATGTATTTAAATGTTAAATAATCAAATTTAACGTTGTCTCTTTTGTAATTTTAATTTAAAATCTAAATCTTTTGGTACAAAACGTTATGATAATGTCAGAAACTGATGCAGCTGATGAGTTGAGTATACTAAACTAGGCCCCCTTATTATGGGGCCAAATTTTAGCCAAACTGTTGAGGATTCTTCACCCGCCTGGCAACTTCACCGCGATAACGAAACAGAGGCCGAAATACATTTATCTCGGCCAGTTCCATATCATCGGCATTCTCGTACTCATTGGACAGATCGTCCACGGCACGGCGCAACCTGTTTAATGTGCGCTCAAATTTGTAGAGATGCTCAAGTTTCTGGTCGGGATTCAAATACGCAACATCTGCTACAGTGTCTGCACTCAGTCTTTGGCTAGGTTCAACAGAACTGTGGCGTTCCTGGGGATAGGCACAAGCCACTTCCAGGGTAACGAGGCACGCGACCAATTGCCAAATATGCTATTGATAGAGCGAGAGATCTATTAGAGCCTATTCAGCTGCATATTTAGCCGGCTTACTCACCTTGTAAGACATCATTTTGTTTGGCTTTAGATCTGTTTTAGTGTTAGGTGTACTACAATAGAGTTATTTTTTGTATAGTTGTTAGCTGATTGACGGCGGAATTGTAAGTGTAACTAATTGGTGGCCGAGCATTGCTTTTTATACAATTGAGAAATGGCTGCAAGTTGCTCTAATTAGCACCTTGAATTGTTCTAATTGCACACCTTGTTTTTCACATGTTAAGCCGATTGCAATATTTCCAGGAAATTAGCATGTCGCTATTGTGTTGTAATGTCAAAAAATCAGAGCATTCAACGGCCCTAGACTGATGTCGAGTCTAGGAAAGCCGAGTCATGTGAACTGCTTTTGTACTTTACAAATTCGAAATATTGTCACTGCAAACACAACTGACTAATGGTCAGCACTTTATTATTTTTCATCCGGTCGCGTGTCTGTCTCGTAATTAGCGCATGATCTCAACAGGTTGTGGACAACAATATAGACCCAAGCTGTCAAAATAAACAAGGTTGTCAACACGTGCACCGTTCGCAATATCTAAGCAATGCAATGGATAATTCGTATTTTTAGTCGATTATTCATTTGAATTTGAATTTGGAACGCGAGCGGGCAATATAAAAAATGTTTGTGTCCCTGGTAAATTACAGCCCCTTACCGGTTAAGAAGTTAACAGCAGACTTTACTTTCCCGCTTAACATTCTGTTATCAGCTTATAGTCGATATACCGGAAAAACAGACCGCGCGCATGAAATCAAAATTTTCCACGCAGAAGAAACGCAAAATAACTGAAGCATTAATTAAACAATAATCACTTGCGTTCTTCTCCAAAGAGAAGAAAATACCTTTCAACAATGAAGACAAATGCACTGAAATACAAAGCGAGCGAGCCTATGTTAAGCGAAAAATTTAATATTATTGAAAATTTGGCCAAGTTTGTGCAGAAACACACATCCGATGAAAAACAGGCCAATGAATTGCTTAAGATTATGTCTTCCCATGCAATAAAACTCCAGGAAACGGCCACATGTTAAATTGAAGAACAAAGCAGGAGGAACTAAGAGAATAGAAACTAACAATAAGTGGAATTTAGCTATAAGACTTAATCGGATAAGACAATCTTTAAGAATTGTTATTGCATCACTAAATATCTAAAAAGTTGTACATATGTATGCAAATGTATTGGTTTTTTTCTTTTTTTGTAAGACGAATGCAGAAACAACGGTAAATGGCTTCTACTTACAGATGCTGGCGATTGCTGTCTCCCTTCGGTACGCTTGCTTTAACTCGTTACTAGCTGCTATGGCTACCACTTGACACATCTTAAACACACCCATATCCCATATCACAATTAGTACACTTTTGATGGCAACGTTTTTAAAATTGAATATAGTTTTATGGTTTTTACGCGAACACTAGCTGCTCCTCACTGATTAATTGTATTGACATAAGATTAGACTATCGATAACTTGCAGCTGCCATTGACAGTGCCATTGTGAGTTTAACAGCATACACAACTGTTACTGCAACTAGCCAGTATTAACAACAACAACAGTCGACTTGGCAGTTCGCTTGTTCAGTTTTAAGAGTCGTTCGATTGAACATATTGCGAACGATTCGATATAGCTGTAGATGTGTTACGCTCTTTTGTTTATTTGTTTAATGTTCGTTTAACGGTAAAGTAAATAATAATTAAGTAATATTGATTCGAACTGACAGTTTGTAAGCATTGCGCTGACAGTTCTCCATTGTGCAGCAGCGGCAAAAACAGTCGCAGTCAAACGTCACGCTAACAACAAACAAAGAGTTCCTAATATCACTGAACAAACACACTACGTTGCAGTTTCATATTTCACATTTTATTGCCAGCGCAACAAAATTGAATATAATTTCTTTGTGATACGAATATTGTAGCCGGCGGTGATTCAGTTTGGACACTTGCCTCGCTTCCAGCTCGACTAACAACATATGTTTGTTTGTGTAGCGTCTGTGTGTGTGTGTGTGTGTGTTCGGTTCGTGCGCGCAAACTTGCGTATGTGTGCAAAAACAAAGTGCGATAAGGGAAAACGAATTCTTCAATCAAAACTTCATAGGAAACTAGCAGATAAAGAGCCTTCACTTTGCAACCGCAAGAGGCGAAAACCGCGAAAAGTTTTTTTTACATTATTAGCTACGCCAGCTCTACAGTGAGCGCTACCTGTTGATGAACACCCTACAAATACCTGCTTTTGGGTAAGGCTCAAGGTCTGCCTATACTCTTACAAAATCTCGGCCATAAAGTACACATATGTTCATGATCAGTATTAACAGACGACGAGTCGTTATAGTCAGGTACGTCTGTGTGTCGCTCAGTTTCTAAGCCGTCCTAAAGAAAGTTGTCGCTTTAGACCAGATGGGATTACCTTCTCATATAGCTGGATGTGAAATACACTTTGTTGTTTAGGATTTCTCCAACAAATGAGCAAAAGCTACAATCAATGTCGCTTAGCTATATCGTATAGCTTCTACAAATAGATAGATAGTAATATATACTTTACTTAATGATAACATTTCTGTGTCTCAAGTTATCTAAAAGAAACTTCTGAAATTATCTTGACTTCTGTAACATATAGCTGCCATGGGAAGGATATGAGATTGAAAAAAAAACCCATTGCAAATCTGTTATGTTCGTAAGAGTATTGAATATTCGGCAACCCAAAGCTAACTGCAACTCTTCATACAGCTAAATATAGAAAAAAGTAGCTACACGACCTGCCCCCTGGACGTGTGCAGCTGCTTTATAGAGAAGCTTGGGCTAGTCGATGAGACCGTCAGCTTCGAGAACGCGCAAAATGAGTAACAACTACAACGATATACCCATCGGGATACGCGTGCTGCAGAGCTTCTCGCGACAATGTCCGCGATTTCATGCGCGCAAGGAGCTGTGGTAAGAGACAATTAAGCAAATGTCAACAACTAGTTAAATTCTAAATTCGTTTCAGCTACAAGATGTCCATATTTTTGCTCACATTCCTTGCCTATGCCTGCTATCACATGTCCCGCAAGCCGATCTCTGTGGTCAAGTCCGTGCTGCATGGGAATTGCTCGAATACGCAGGCAAAGCTGCACGAGGCTGGCGATTGCGGCTATGCGCCATTTGGTAAGTTTGGGCCTAGCTCTTGAGCATATTTCGTGACTCACTTAACCCGCTTTCTTTGAACAGATGGCTCCGACTCGAAGACGCTCTTTGGCATGCTGGACTCGGCCTTTCTGTTCTCCTACGCCATTGCCATGTTCATGTCGGGCTTCATAGCGGAGCGCGTCTCGTTGCGCTATTTTCTGTCCATGGGCATGATTATGACGGGCGTGTTCACCTATCTGTTCGGCCTGGCACGTACATCCAATATACACAGCCTCAGCTACTTTATATTTGTGCAAATCTTTGCCGGCATATTCCAGACCACAGGCTGGCCGGGCGTCGTCACGCTGGTGGGACGTTGGTTTGGCAAAGAGAAACGCGGCCTGATCTTTGGCATTTGGAATAGCCACACGTCCATTGGCAATATTCTAGGCACACTAATTGCGGCGCACTATGTGGAAAAGGATTGGGCCCTGTCCTTCGTTGTGCCTGGCATTATCATTGGAGCTGTGGGCTTTTTGCTCTTTCTGTTTCTGGTTGATCAGCCAGAGATTGTTGGCTGTTATCCACAGCATGTCACACAGGAGCGTCGCAACGTGGCCAATGAATCGGATGTGGACCATGACGATGATGACGATGAGGAACAGGCGCGTCACACCGAAGCCGTAAGTATTTATTGTTCTCGCTTTCAGCAATTGTTGCTTGCATTTTTTATTTTTTATTTAAATAAAATACACACTCATCTCAATTAATTTGCCGTATGCCTGCGCAGTTTTATGCTCAGTCCGTTTATGCCGCCCAACAAACCGTAAGTGCATGCATTCCACATTTGTCTTTTCCATGTGTCGTACGCTTCTGTGTTTGTTGCGCCTCTTCAGCTAATTCTTTATAAATCTGTATTATATGTCCGATTAGTTTTGTTCTTCTGCTGATATAGATAACATAAATCTTTACCTGCAGGATCAGGTTAGCTATCGCCCAGCGCCCACCGAACGCACCCCCATCTTGTCACGGCAGCCGTCTAGGGAACGCCCAGCGGGACACGGTCGTCCCATTAGCTTGGTTGATGCGCTCTATATACCCGGCGTGGTTGAGTTCTCGCTTTGCCTGTTCTTCACCAAGCTGGTCAGCTATACGTTCATGTACTGGCTGCCGCTCTATATACAGTCTTCCAGTGAGTCAATTCTTGAAATATGATTTTTCTGCTCATTTATGTATACATTTGTTTCGTTCAGGCACCTTGGGTCCAGAACTGTCCGCCGATCTATCCACGCTGTTTGATGTGGGCGGCATATTGGGTGCCATAGCCGCCGGCTATGTATCTGATCTGACGGGCATGTCGGCCACAGTGTGCACAGTGATGTTGTTCTTTGCGTCGCCCATTGTGAGTTATATTGAAATTTAATCTGTATACATATGTACTTGATGTATTGGCTTATTCCAGCTGTTAATGTATCAACAGTATGGCGCATTGTCTGTTACAATTAGCGTGCTTCTGCTCATCATTGTGGGCATCTTTGTGAACGGGCCGTATGCATTAATAACGACCTCGGTCAGCGCTGAACTGGGTCAACACAGCTCCTTGGAGAGTAATTCGAATGCCCTGGCCACGGTTACCGCTATTATAGATGGCACGGGCTCCATTGGCGCGGCAGTGGGTCCGCTGCTTGCCGGTTTGATCTCCAGCCACAGCTGGCAGAATGTCTTCTATATGCTCATCGTGGCGGACATCATTGCCATGCTGCTGCTCATGCGTCTGGTCGTCAAGGAATGCACCACGTTGCGACGCTCAACGACCCGCATTCGCATAGAATAGCAGCGGGTGAATTAATTTTATTCTATCGGAATTTAATATTATCATATGTACATATAGCATTGTATTATATGCATGCACTCACACACATTTGCCCGCATGCATCTGTGCAGACTTATGTGTGCGTGCATGTCCAGCTCGCATTAGCTATTTTAATATAACACTATTTCTATATATGTGTGCATGTTTAAGTACTGTGTGCTTGTTTATTCGAGAGCATATCACTTGTTTTTCTGAACCTACATACTTAGTTTTATCTGCGTTCGTTTTTTATAGCTATTAATACTGAATGTGTAACGCACCAGACGCCGAAATCTTTACCATATTTATTATATGCATGTAAACATTGGCGGACGAGCTATACGAGTTAACAGTTTTATCTATATATATAAATATATTTTATACCGCTGTGTGTGTATGTATATCAGAGTCTCCTCGTTTTAAGTGCCGAAGAAATATACATATATATATATAATATAATAGTTAAGGCATATTTACACTGATATGTAAATACAGTTTTCGTACACTTTTCGTACCAATAAACTAAGACAATGCCGTATACGAGAATTGTCTAACTAAAAACTATCGAACAGACTTCTTTAAGCCACTGTAATGTAAGATAGCTCCTGTAAAGTAACGCTGTCAAGATTAACAGTACAAATAGAAAAGTATGTTAAAAGAGATTTGAATGTGACATAGAGCGAAAGCTGAACAAGAAAAGCCATTTAAGTTGTGGCTGGAAACAAAATTTAAGTTGACGAGTTAAATTTAATTTAACAGCACATTAGCTAATCGAGCGCTTTACTAGTAGTTTTAATGAGTAAATGCTTGGTTATGTTTAAAATTCTATGTATATTATTATTTTTAATCTCAATCTGTTGACTTTTTAGCCTCAGTAGCGAAAAAAGAAACCCATCTGAGAGAAATTTCACTTTACTACGCTTAAAATTAGCCTCATGATTGCGCTTAAATAAGATACAGTCTAGGTAGACCTTAACTAAAACTAGATTTCCCCTATAAATGGCGCTAAAATGGCGACGATCTCAAAGCTTACAACTTATCACAACATTGAAATGAAAAACAAATCATACAACCTTAATATCAGCGTGTTCTATAGACGCTGCACACAGCGACGCACTATCTTGGCCTTATGTTGGCACAGCAGACGGAGTAGAAAGATGATGAGCAGCAGGCTAACGCCATAGCCGACGACGAGAACGGCGCGTTTGCGTCGCCGCCAACGTTGATAGTCGTTCCAGGACACGTAGCGATTGCGAAATTGTGGAGGCAGTTCGAATTTGCTGCGTCGCGGAAAGAAAGATAAATAGAAATCCTCGAGCAGATGACGCACTAGCTCGTTATCCTCGCCACGCTTAACATCCAGGTTGTCGTTAATGCAATTGAACTTGCGCGGATTGCGACGCATGCGGTCGAGCGCCTCAACGACTTCTGTCAGATTTGAGGTGAGCATCATAAAATTGCTGTGCGAGGCGCGTTTTGGACTCACATGGTAGCGATACCTGGAGCGGACGCCAAAGTTGGCGCTCAAAGCCTCCGCCAGCAGTGGACAGCGGTAGACTAGCTCGCGGGTAATTGTGGGCTGTGCAGAGGGCGAGAGAGAAAATTATAAATGCGACTGAAATAGAGCCTGGATTAGATAATAACTCACCAAATTGGAGTCTTCGTAGCGCTCATATACCAGCGTCGAGTGAACTATTTTATTATCTGTTGCAGCATCATGGCCCAGGTTATGCGTACAGTTCTGGACCACCTCCTCGAAGTAACGCATGGCTGACCAGTCCAGCGGCGGTGGATAGATGCGCGTCAAGCACGTGCGCACCTCGCGATCCGACCATGTGCCCGAGCCATCCGTATCGAACTCATCAAAAATCTGCTCCACGCCCAGCGACTTTGTCTCGCTCATGAGAAACGAATAGTAGGCGAAGGCGAACTGTAAATCTGTGGCCGCACGGAAACGCTGATGGGCCGTTTGGCGCACCTGCTGCTCGAAGCGCTGCTGCATAGCCTCGACAATGTCGCGCTCTATGAGAAAACCCACGTGCGCCAGCACATGACGCGCCTTGAAGCCATAGACGCGATTCAGCAGCATATTGGTGGCAATCAGCGAGTGCGAGTAAATGTCTGTGGAGGATTTGAAGTCCTCCTTGTGCAGGAGATTGCTGCGGCTGGTACTGCTGCTCATCGCGCTGCTGGCGTCCAGCTCGGGATTTAAAGACTTCAGCTTATCTTTGTTGAAGCGTTCCACAATGCGACGCAACTCCTGCAGTGTAGACACATTTCTATGACGCATCAGCTCCTTGAAATTAGTGGAGCTGCGTTTAAAAAGCTGTTGCAGACCCATATTGGGAAACTTATGAACGCCCACATGTCCCACAGGCACGGGCACATCGGGCACGCTATGCAGGTCCTCTTGCAACTGCCCGGCACTCCCGGTTCCACTGTCGGTGCAGTCGCCACCATCAAATTGGCATGCATCAATGTTGCAGTGGCGATCACAGGCGCCATCGCCTATGTACGTCCAGGGACAGTCCACGGCGCAATCGGGCACCATCCATGCCTGATAAACGCGCACGCCCTCCGCCTCCGTATACAAATCCTCCGGATAGAGCGGAGCACCCAGAAAGATGTCATCGTTCAGATACAAAAAACGTTTAGATAGCTTTGGTATGCGATGGAGGAATGTTTCAATGGCTGCGCTGGAAAACGTTGGCAGTTGTTCGGGATCCGGTGCGAGCACCTCGTGCGGCACCACAGTCACACGTTCATAGTTGAGATCCAGCCAACTGGGTATCTGGCCATTGGTCACAATGTAAACGTGCCGTATCCAGCTGGCGTGCTTCTCCAGCGAACGCAACGAGTACTTTAGCTCATTCTTGTCGTCGAAGCGCGACGGATCATAGCTGGCATCGTAGCGTCTAATGGACTCAATAAAATCCGGATCCGAACCGTTTACCCAAGTGTAGACGGCATCAATGGGCGCACAATGCGTTTCGCCGTAGTAGCTACTATCGTGACCATTCGAAGTCGCCAGCAACTGCTGTCCAGCCAGCCACAATATTACGCATAGTGCTCCAAATACGGCTAAGTAAACCAACTTGCGGCGCGATTGCATTTTAAGCCGATAGATTTTCTCAATTGTACGCCGCATCCGCCGATGCCAGCGGCGTCGCAGACGCATTTCGTACACCTGTTAAGCTCTACATCGCCACACTTTTCGTGCACTTTAATTAATAAACTGTGTTTATTCCGCACGTAATTTACCTTAGAGAAGAAAAAAGATTGATTTTAAGTCGGTTTTTAATTAGTGGTGGTCGTCTTAGAATGATAAGTTGGTGCATGATAAATGCAAGTACATCGATAGTATCGATGACAACTTTCGCAAAGACACAAATATTGCAGCTTGCAAGTACTTTACTATATAGCATATTAACTTTTTAATATGCACCTTACACTTATTTTGTACACGTCTAATATCTAATATCCAATATCATTACAAAATCGCGCCAAGCATATATTACAGGTCATACCCCTTGTTTCGATTTCTTAACCAGTGCTGCTTAATGCCGTTTTGCAGTGCGCCCGCGAGCTACAGTTTTTAGCATCGTTGTGACTGCCATGCCTATCGACTGTAATATCGACTTAACCCATTCGCTATCGGTCAGCTGGTCGACCATCACATGACCTGTCATATGAAAACTTTTTCACTCTGACAGCGCAAATCGACATCGGGCCGTGCAAATCGAAAAACTTGTTCACATTTTTCGTTTGTAGTTTTTCTTAATTTTTGGTTGGTTTATTTTAATACTTGTGTTTAATTATGTTCAATTGTTGATTTTACTTTTGTTTCGTTTTAATTTCGTGAATGTAGTGCGTCCACGTAGCGAGCCAGGCAACAAAATGTTGTGGAAGTCGCTGATTGCGTTGTGCGTCATTGGAGTCGCCTTGGGCGAGCAGACGCCCGTTTTTCTCTGGGGTGCCAACAGGTGGGTGCTTATTAAACCGTTCAAATCGTAGCCATATATTACTTCTATTACTTGACAGCCCCACGAAGCCATCGCTGCGCACAGTGCCGCAGGCAGAGTTTGGAGAGCAGCTGGCGGCATTGCTGAAAGATCACATGGTTGTGGCCTTCGAGGAAAATGGCGTAAGTCCAGTGCAAATAACAGTGTAAAAACTGTTCTTCAGCAGAAGGTCTCTCTTTTATCTAGCTGAGTAACAAGGATTTCCTGTGCTCAAATGGTGAGGCGCAGTCATGTTACGCTCAGCTACAGAGCGTAAGCCCCAAGACGTACTACACCAGCGTAGAGAATCCCTCCGAGGCACTGCGTGCTGCAGCTGAAAAGCGCGAGCACAACAGCATCGATGCCAATGGTCAGCTGGTGCATCCCGTCAAGTGTGAGGTGGGCACAGCCCATTTTGTTTCCTTTGAGGATGTGTCCGAGACGCGTGCTGCTACGCTCCAGTCACATGGTACGCCCTGGCAGCTACTAACTCATGCATATATGTAGGCTAATTGATATTTACCTTCTTGAACAGACTCCGCGATTGCCGCTATCAGCAAGCAATTGGTCGGCTGCAAGGTGGCTTATCTGTATTTGGCTGCGCCAGCTACGGCACCCACTGTGCAGCGTCGCGTGCGTCGTTGGACCGCAGCAGAGACGAGTGGCTACAGATTCTACAGTGGCAATCAGTTTGCCATCAGCTTTACGGATGTTAAGTACATTAACGAAGGAGCTACTACGACAACCACACCCTTAAAGGTTAGTGGTATAACCGTAAACAATGTCACCGCCAACATCAAGTTCTCCGTGGCACTGCACACCGATGCCGGGAAGGACATCACCTTTGATGTCAGCTATAGCAGCGTCGATGGTTATTATACAGTAAGCAATGCGGCATATGGCGGCGAGACATTCCGCACGCCTGGTGTCAATGCGCCCACAACGTTCTCTTATGCCTGCGGCAATGCGACCTGGTATACGCCAGCCAAGGAGAATAAGGCCAATGCGCTCGCGTGGAGCTCACTGCAGCTGCAGGCGCCATTCAGTCAAACAGCCAAGGATAATTTTGCGTTCGATGATTCGTGGGACTGTGTTGGCTTCGTTACGCCCGGCATATTGATGGGTCTGTTTGTGATTGTCATTCTGCTGGTGATTGTCTTTTTGGGCCTGTGCTGGATGATGGATATCAAGACAATGGATCGCTTCGATGATCCCAAGGGCAAAACTATTACGATTAATGCTAGCGCCGAATAAGCAGCCAGCTGTGTCTGCATTAATTCATTGTTTTTTTCTGATTGTTTTTCTGCATCGTTTAATGTGCATAGATATGTATCCGTATATTCAATATTCATTCCTACCTTCAGCTACGCATAATATGTAATCAATTCAATACTTAAACAATTACATTATACAAAAAAAACACACAAAAAAAATGTCAGGAAATTAGCAGCCACAATTTATAAGTCATACTCTGTACAATTTACGCCCACAAAGGTGCGCTGCGGCGGATGCGGCCATGTTCAGCATCAGAAAACCACACGTGTGCCCAGCCCCCGCTACACACCTTTGCAGCCGTAAATTATTAACGAATTATTTTATTATTTTGCTTGCAACGACTGCTGCTTCATTTGATAAACTTTAATGCAGTATTTTGTTTAAGTTCGTAAAGAAATGCACAAAACTACTTATAAAGACGCACATTATGCTCTGTGTGTGTGTGTATGTATGCGACTGTGTGTGTGTGTGTTACGCAATTGTTTAATTCTAAGCGTTCTTTTTATGTTATGCCCCTGTATGATAATATATCATTTATGTACCTCACCCTGCGCGATATGTATGCGAAACACAAGCTCCCAAATAAAGTTTTTCAATTGTTTTACAAACATACCAACAAAAAAAAAAACAACAACAACAATAATCCGTATCCGTATCGACTTAATTGAATTCCCACAGTTGCCAGCGTAGCCCAAAAACTCATAAATACAAATCAAAAGTTTTATGAAAATTTATTGACTGTGCCTCTTGCCACATAGCTGCTGCTGCTGCTGCGGCTGGCTGCTGCCTCTCAACTTCACATAAGGATTAAAGATATATATGGCATAGCTGGTATGAATGTGAATGTGCATGTGTGTGTGTGAGTGTGTTCGTGTTGATTGTTTGCAAAAACTTTCGAGTCTAAAATAGTTTTACGTAACACTTTACGCTTGGCTTCTCAGCTCTCTGCAGAGCATTTCGGCTTGTGACCTGCAACTTTCATTAAGTTGTTTAGCAGGATGCTCAAAAAGCATTGTTTATGACATTTTAATCTCTTGTTTATCCGCTTGACTTTATCTCAGTGTCAGCAAACTGACCAACCACCCACCCTCCCACGGCCCAAGGTTTCACTTGCTTTGGCAGAAGTAACAATATGTTTGTTTTAAGGCCTTGCTCGACTGCTAGATGACCTGTTAGTGTACATTGTTCTTATATTATATTTGTATACTAGCGGGCATTATTTATCCCAATATATAAAACTTTTCGTCCTGGCTTACTCTATCCTTTTTGGTTCAAAGAGAGCACTTAGATGGAGTTTTGAGAATAACGACGCGCAAGTGGGTCTAAACGAGGATCACAGTTTATATGAAGCATAGTTAAAAAGTTCTGCTTTAAAAATATGATGTGCACTGAACTAACAAGCGAGAAATCACCAGTTCAACTCAAGGGGCAATTGTCAATTAATTATTTGCATATATTAAGCTATACTAATAAAATAAAAAGCAAATTTTTCGAAAAGAACTCAATTTGTTAGTGAGGAGAGACAATTTAGATAAAGGGAGATAATTAGGAGCAACATTTACTAGGACGCAACAGGAACAACTGGGTCCGTTGAATGTGTGAAAAACCCGGGCAAGATCTTTGTGCACATGACAGTTTTGATGCTAAAATTTCGATTATAATGTATTGCTAATAAATAGATGGCGTCGGGGTTGGGAGTGGAGTGAATGCGTGAACAATTGATGACTATTAGAGCGATTTTGTATATTTTTGAAGTTGACGTGAATTACACAAACAATTTCGGTATCAAACCGGCGACGCCATGATGTGACATATAAAATAGCCGTTGTTTGTTTTCATTATGATTATTGATTGGCAAAACGGAGCAGGAGAGATGAGGGCGGGGCAGGGCTCGATTGATATGTGGTGATAGTTTTGTTGGCACGCGGACAACGTCGCGACAGGAAACTCTCGTATATATATATGCATTTATTTCCGTAGCAAACAGGACCTTTTACTCAAACGTTAAATACATCGAAATGTTTAGGTTTAATGATGCTGAAATTTGGTAAGAGATCTGTTACGTTGGCAAGTTAAGCCGCGTAACTTAAACTTTAATATGCCCGGAGTTTATGTAAATAATGAAAATATGAACATAAAGAGCCACGCTTAAAGAGTTTATTAAAACCAACAAAGTTACTGTGTGTTGCCCCATATACTTAGAAAGTTGCCCAAACTTTGCATACCCTACATCTGCTGGGTATCGCAAACTTAGCAGCTGGCGCTAAAAAGTATGCTACACAAGCCGTCAGCTCACTCGGTGCGTCCGGTTGTCCGCGTTGGCAAGGAACCCAGTTGACTGCACCAAGTGCCGTGCGCTTAACTTTTTTGTTGATGTGTTTCCTTGTTTTTTGTTTTTTTTGTTATTAAGGGCATAATGTAAATGTTAAGGGTATAATGTTTTTGCGCTAATGTATGGCACAAGCAGATGAAAGCAAATCCAACCACAAAGCATATAAATTCCTGTTTGAGGGCGACGAACCGAATCGATCTAATCACAGATACTCTTAAATTAGATGCTGAACGAATTTATGATTTGTTTGAGTACTCGCATATCAATGTCAATAAATATCGATTTTAAAATAAGGTTTTTTAGGCATAAGTCGAGGACATGCCAAATGCTAGATGTATGTTCTCGTAAAGTATATAAATAGCAAGAATATTTTATTATTCGAATATCTGCTGATAAAGCTCATGTTAAAGGGCAAAGTCATGTGCTTAAGTATGTACACACCTTTGGAGGATAATAAAGCTCTGACCATGTTACAAAGAGCGGACATTAAGCATCGAGAAGGGCTGCACAGCCGCTGCATATTGCAGTGTGCAGCTTATGAGAGTATCTGCTAGTCGTTCACTCCCGACTAGCGCACTCTTACTGGTTTTTTTTTTTTGTTGCATTTGAAACAGGTCAGTGCGTCATGCACACCAAATGAGCATATGAACCACTCCGGCCCGATGCCCTGGCT